AAGTAGGCTCGATATTAGTCCCAAATCCTTTAACAAATTTCTTTCTAAATTACTAAAAATAGAAAGTAAGTCTTAAGGAAGTCGTGGCGTTTATCGAATATCAAAGCAAATGGATTCTCCCATAGTATCGGAATAGTAATCCGACATAAAAATTGATTGACCAAAATACATGAATAAAGTGACCTTGAATCATTTTATAACAGAAAGAAAGAGTAATTTACCGCAAAAATTTTTGAAATTGACATGATTAGAAAGTAAGGGGGCTCGAAAAAAAAATAAAATCAGGAATGATAAATGGATTTTTTCTTTATTCACATGATTTGGCGTAACTATGCATCGGGTAAATTACCAAACAATACGGAATTATTTATTAAATTACACAGCCACATGCATGATTAAATCTTTTCAAATATAGTTTTAAGAAAATAAGGAACTCATTTTTTTTCTCGTATAATAAGTCTTCCAACATTAGAATAACAATTAGAAAAAGCCGAAATTATAATTTCGTATTTAACAATAAACAGAAAAACTTATTGATTTGTTGAGGAATCATCTAAACGCTAAACGCGTACAATTCAAAATGAGTTTTTTTTTTTTAAATAAAAATCTATTTTCACGTTTAATAGGCTTAATTTTTTATAGTTTTGAAAAAGTATAAAAAAAAGAATATTATAATAGAATCCATTGGTTAATTATTTTAACGTATTGATTAATTAGTAAAACAAGCACAACTCAGAAATCAGTCAGTTTTGTTATACCAATTCACGAGTCTTCGAAAAGTACTAAATTGCTTTCAAACTCCGTTATTTTCAGATTCTTAATCACGTGACGTGGTAAATTAAATAAAATAAAAACCAATTGAGAATTTCACATGGGATATTGTTACGTTATTTCAAAAATTCATGTTTCAAGAAAGTAAAGCTTTTCCAATAAATTTAGTTGAATAAACAAGGATTGTCAATTGGATACTCAGAATGACATTTAATTCAAATTTTAAAAGAATACATAACATTATCTTGTTTAAATTTTCTCATACTCCAAAACGGTTCATTATTTTCCAAAGCCATCATGTGGCGCAGCGATTAAAAACATGAATCTTCGTAAATTGAGGCTTTTATTTAAATATGCAATAGTAAAAATTGAGGCTTAAGCTTCGATTTTTTTATTAGCGTAAAGTAAATGAAGCTATATGGATTATATGGATAAAAATACACTAAAATAATACTGTCAATTTGTGTTTTCATTTATTTTTTTTAGAAATTTAAAAAGCCTCCAAATTAAACTAGAAAAATATGAACATTTACGGATCATGATTTATGCATTTAATTAAAAAAATTGATTTTATTTTATTTTATTACGATCATTATCATTATCATCATCATTTTTCTTATTTTTTATTTATTTAACGCTTCCAATGTTTTCATAATAAAATTATGTAGTTAGAAGCGTTAGTTTATGAACAAACTTTTTTTAAATATGACGCTGCCAGTTGTTTGTTTATTAACAGTTTTAGGATTCTACTTAATCCAGTGATGGCAAATTATGAGGTCATTTACAAATAATTTTAAATGAACTTGGTCATTTTGATTTGAATTTATAATAAAAATAAGGTCATTAAGGCTATTTAAAGGTCATTCAAATGCTTTTGCCAACACCAACTTAATCAACATTAGATTACGGTGTTTAAAAAAAAATTATAAAACCTTTTTTGTAGATTTTATATATCACTTGAAGTTCAAGAGGTGATTTAAAATTATATGTAATATTTATGAAATTCTACAAAAAAAACACCTGCACAAATTGCACAAAGGACATAATAAATACCTGTTATTGTGTATGACGTATACACTGATAATACTTTTTTTAACTTATTTTTTTTTCTTTTCTTTCACGCTTCTTCTTGCCTTCAATATCTTACAAATTAATTTTGTCACATTATAAAAAAGTAATTTACATTAAAAGCTGATGGATATTGTGCAAGGATTTCAAGCAGAATGAAGAACAAGAAGCCAATTATGTTTTCATATTTACAATAAAGAATACATCAACTTCAAGAACATATATATTAATTTTACATATAATTTACTCACTATATTTTTATTAATGCGTTGCGTATATAGAATATTTTACATTTAATTATATTAATGAAAGCAATAATATTTAAACCTTAGAAATCCGAGTAAATAATCAGGATTTTAAAGATACATATTCATAGTACAGTTAAATTTAATAAACTGATATTTAAAATAAGCAAATTTCTAAAATAAATTTTCTTATTTATCATTAATATAAACTAGTGAGTAAGTGTATACTGAAATAACTATATATTCGAAGGAGCAATCATCTTTTCTGGTAAACCATATAATGTCTTCTGCTTTATCTACTAAATCGTTTGAACACTATTAATAACAGAAATTAAAGATCGAACAGCTCATCATCAACAATGATTTAAGCTGACATCTTGTCATATGTAGGGATGCTAATGATTACGGTCAAGACCGGTTATAACAGTAACCGATATCAGTCAGTCAAAGGTTTTTGTCCGACTGATCTTGACCACCGGTTTACCAAATATATTTTAATTAGTAATTCAAGAATTCTTTGCATTTAATTAGCAATCATTTTAATTATTAATTTTTATAAATAAAAACTTTTAATTTATTTTATAAAAAAAGTTCGCGATAATTCTGTATATATGAAAGTAAACTTAATATGCATATTGAGTTAGCCTAAAAGAAATAAAAAAAATATATAAAAAATTGGAGTTTCGCAAATACTGTGTTAGTATTATTTAAATCTGGATAGAAAAAAGAGCGAGTATAGGCGTATTAGTCAAATGAACGTTACTCTCAATTCCGAAATCATCAATAAAAATGCGTTAAATTAGGTAAAGTTTCTTATCTAAATATTTTATTATAAAATTCAATACAAGTATACAAATCAAATAACAATAAATTTTTATTTTAACTTTTAGGTTGGAAATATAAAATATAAAACCATTCGCATATTCTGGCTTAAAGAATTATATTATCAAATATTTTGATTCACTCAAGACCCCATTACTAAGGATTGTATGATAATTACGAAATGTTATGAATCAGGAGACTTAACACAATATCTAGCGAAGAATTTCTTCGAACTTGAATGGTCATTAATGATGGGCTTAAAAATATACATGATTTATATATTATTCACCAGGATTTTCATAATAAGAATATATATAATTCAGTGATTGCAATAATAGGCGATTTAGGGATAACATTTGAATCATCATTAGATGATGATGAAAGTAGAAGGGCTTTTTGAGATCATGGTCACGATGTTGATCTTATTATTAATAATTGTGATGGTCTTCGTCCTTAATAATGCATCAGAAAGGTTACATTGAATTGATACAAGAGTGTTGGCAACCTGATTTAAATAATAGACCAACGGCCGATGACATAAAATCAAAATTGAGAAAATTATTTGATTCAGAAAGTAGTATATTGATCAAAATTTAGATTCACCAAACATTGGATCTATATCGACAAACAATCCTGGCACTATTTATAAAATAAGTGCCATGATAAAATCTGCCGAGTCTACAAGACTGATTAAATATATCAAATTTTCAAAATATGGTCGATTACGTTTTGTATAAAAAAACCTACTTTACAAAGGTGGTCGACCATAAGGATTATTAATCGAGATTTTCATGATGCGATCATATTAACGTAATTTTCTCTAACGCGTATATCAAAATCAACACTGAGGTGGTGGTAAATAAGTAGGTATATACATTTGTAGAGGAGTTACAGGTGTAAATCGTGAAAGAGATCTGTGTTATTAATTCTAGTTATATAAAAAAGTGATGTCCGAGTTAGTTAATCCTTTGTACAAGGAAAAATAAGATGGAACAAAAATTTCAACCTGATCAAACTATCGCTTAATATGCTAAGAATCTGACAATTTGTTTTCGGAAATATGCCATTCTTAATCCTTTCTGCCTATTTGATATTCGTTTCTCATCAGCGCAGTAAAATTGCTGAGAATTTCTGTCATCGCACTTTGATATTGGCGCAGTTTCGTAATGTAGGATGGTGATAACTTCGGAATTCCTTCTATGGATTCTAAATTATTTCAACATGAAAGTTTCTCTTCGGAATAATCTTTTAATGGCTTTGTGGATGAAATGACATTACTTTTATATATAATTATTATTATATCAAATGCAAGTACGATATAATCGCGATGAACAGATGACGTATATAACCAAAACAACGCGTGACTTGTAAATCACGCGATCTAGGATTAAATAAGGCCCGAATGGTCAAAATCCGAATAATCCCGGACGATCATAACCCCGAATGGCCATGATCCCGAATATTATTTATTATTTTAAAATATTACTAGTTTAACGAGGTTTATTGAGTTATTTTGAATATTTATTTATCAAATCGATAAAAATCGCAATGCATTATCTCATCGAAAGAAAGTTTAAAATAATTTAGAAAAATTTAATAATGTCGTGCGTGCAATACAAATCAAATATTGTGATATTCGTGATTTTGACCCTTCGGGATTATGGTTATAACTTCGGGATTATGACCCCATATTTTTAGAAACGATCATCATCAGAATCATGATTAATCGCGTTAATCGATTAATTCGATTCTAATTCGATTATCGATTAATTCGATTTTGCGTTTATCAAAATATTCGTAAACCAACCATAAACCATATGAATATCTTCACAAACATGGTTCATACTAAATTTCAAAACATGATATCCGAATCGAAGTTTTATATTTAAAAAAAATATTAAAAGAATAATTGAATTGGAATAGGACAATTTTTTTCTTTATATAAAGCAATTATTTAAATTAACTCGAAATTAAAGAAATTAATTACATTCACAAATTATACATACAATTAAATCATATTAAATCAATACCTTTCTTTGCAAAGAAATAATAATCATGAACCGAAATTTTATTTTTGTATTCATTATATTGGCTATGCTTTCATTGATCAATGCATTCCCCTCTCAACTTCAAAAAAGAACTACTTCCTTTGTTCAATGCCCTCCTATTCAAGGGACCACTACACCACCAACCTTCATCTCCGTAACACTCAATCCTGATCCTGTCGTCCCCGGAATTCCAGATAAATTTACTGTTTCCGGAATTTTAGATTCAGATATTACAGTAAAAACCAAACTTTTTGTATTTTATGCTGATCCTATAACTGGAAACGCAATAAGCGACTTATATTATGGACACGTTTGTGAAGAAACTGGGTGTCCAATTAAAGCTAAAACCCCATTCTCTACAAGCGTGGTTATTCCGACACCACAAAACTTACCTAATCCATACGGCATTTCAGTTAATATTGTTGATATTGAATCTCGAGAAGTTATAGGCTGTGCATATACCATCGTTAATGATGTACCCGCCTTCAATATTGATTTGCATGCATAGATGAACTGAACGACTGTGACAAATTCATTTCTATAAATTTAATATATATTTTAGAAATTAAAAATCAAAATCATAAACATTTATAAATTCTATACCTAATGTTGCTGCGATTGCTTCATTTCCTATTCCTCTATAATTTTTTTCATTTTTGCATTTTTTTTATTTTTATCATTTTTAAGTAATAATTATAATTTGTTAATGATAGGATTTAATTTACCATAATAAATTCATTTGATGTTATTCATGACTAGTTATGAATAAGATTCGTCGATATATGAAAAATAAAGTTACAAATTTATTGACTAAAACGTTCAAAAAAAAACTGTGCGTAAATGTCGTCGACCTTGTACGTATCAGATTTAATCGATCGGCAATAAACTTAACACATCACATGATTAAGGCTTGTATGTGGATATTTTAAATATAACATCGTCAAAATAGCTCACAAAGTTCAAAGTATTTACAAATAAACAAGTTATACCAAATATCTAGCACGACATCTTGAAGTCAAAAGACCTAAAGTTAAAGAACGGGAGGTAATAGTTTGATTAAATGTACTAGTAATTTCTTGCTTACATAAATTATAACTATTAACTAATAATCCTTTTATTTTTTTTTCACTTGGTACCCATAAAATGTATCCAATTATTCTAAAAATCATTCATCATTGCTTAATTGTTGATTAACTTTTATAATAATTCTAACAAATTTTTTAAATAATATATTTTTCTAACATGATTATTTTAAGTAGTTCACGTGTGATACTATATTATATTTTGTTAAATGATCAATAAATTACTAGTACTACCATAACTCCACAAAGTCGTTCAATATTATGATTTACCTCTAATGTTTTTCTGAAAGTGGGAATAATTCCAAATAAAGCGTCGATTATTATTTGATTGAAATATGCTATTATGAATATTTCTAATGTTTGTTTCTACATTTCCAGTTCTTTATTATTAACTTGGCCTTGTGATTCATTTTCTCCCAATAAATTTCTTTCAATATTACCCATATTACTAGAAGAAGCTAGTTTTGTAAAGCACATTCCGTTTCTTCATCTTTTTCATCTGTTCGTTTGTTTTTAAATTTGCATTTGTTTTTTTGTTTATTTATTTTACCGTGATTAGTTTTGTGTAAAGTTTGTTTTATCTTCTTGTTATTGCAAATTACACAATTGAGGCATCTCACATCTTACTTTTTTTTATATGCAACATGCCAAACGGTGTTATCACTATACTAATTCAACATTTTTATTAATTTGCATATAAATTCAAGAGTTTTGTAAAGATTCATGTGATTTTTCTTTCTTAACAATTCGCCAAAGGAGAGCTTGCAATTTTTTAAATAAACTATCATAAAATTTTTCTTAATATTTAAAATATTTATAATTTTATTTATGCCATAATTTTCAGACTTATTTGATATTTTCTGTATGTTATTAGGACAAGTTCTCATTTAAGTACATGTTTTTGTAGCCGTTTGCAGTTAAATTTCCAGTCTACCTTATCATACTATCATACTATGCAAATTCTAATATAATGTTTAAAGATTGCTTTGATGAAACGATAAAAATGATTATAAGTCAATTTATTGTGTGTTTCTGTAAAATGATTATGTTGACTAAATGATGGAAGTGATTGTCAGTAAAATTATCATGATAGACAGCAAAATGGGTTACGGTCAAGTGAACCAGACCTATTGATTGCGTATTTTGAGTTGCTTAATAATTTCGTTATTACATGCATCATTTGAATCCTCCAGTTGCTATGCTATATGGATTTTTGATAACATAAACACAATTTCATTTGAAATTTGATAATCTCCTTTATCTTTTGCAAATTAGATTGTTCCAACTGTTTTCCTTCATCATTTGTATATCGATAATCCAATTAAGGTACAATATGTAATGATGAGATGTTGGGATGATGGTGGCGTATCTTTTGTAAGACGCCATGCGCATTGTGTAACGATGTCCGAGGTTGCAACGAATTTTGGAAACAGAATTACAAATTCTCTTTTAATATTTACTAAACTAATTAAAATTTTTTTCATTCTCTTTATACGATTCATAATAAATCGATCAAATCGATCAACCTAGGGATGGAAAAAATTCACGTTAAATAACGAAATATGTAGTAAAGACAAATAATTAAATAAATAAATTGTTTTGAAAAACCATAGACAATATAGACAATTTATAAATTTGCATGTTGCAGCAATTTTAATACAAATAGCGGCAATCGCAAATTGATATCTCGAATGGTTATGTTTCGTATCGTACATAATATTTTCGTGCATTTTGAGATGAAGATGTTCTAATAACGATTTGTTATTATATACCTGATTACGTTATCTGAAAGATGTAATTTACACAGAAAGTCAAGATCACACTTATAATCATTTAATTTATCATATCTGAGCGTTTAACATACACATCAATTTGAGAAGGCTTGTTTGTAACGCAACGTGACGTAAAAGTTGTTAAAATCAGTTCAAATTACCAATACTCGTGTATAATAAATTCACTATTTTTGAAGTTTAATTTTGAATATAGTGTAGTTTAAAAAAAATATTAATAAAAGTTTGAGCTCAGGGAAAATTATGTGATGGATATTCAAGTTGACAAACCAGAAAGATTATTAAATGGATCGATAATAAAAAGTAGAAATTATCGATTAATCGCGATCGAATCTTGAGTTTCGATAAATAGATTCGATTCTAATCGAAAATATATTTTTATGGAAAAGTGTTTTTTTTTGATACTGAAATAATTCCAAAGTTAAAGTTTAACTTTAACAAAAAAACAAATTAAAATTTTACAAATTTATAACAGAAAAATCAGATAAAATAGAAGATTTACAGCGAGCGATGAAAAATCCCCTTTCTAAAAAAATAGTATGTCAAATTGCTTCACAATTCAAGTATGATAATAATTTTAAACCAATATATGTAATCAATTTTTTTTATTGTTTTTTTTTTTCATTTAAGATCGTACCGATCAAATGTTAATTTTTAATTTTTTTTTTTTTTTAAAAAAAATTATTTATTACTCTTTTGACTTGGATCATTTAGAAGTACATAGTATTTTTTTTTTTGTTTTTTACTTTTGGGCAATTGTGATTGTGGCTGAATTATTATATACTGTAAGTTGGATAACTTAGAGGGAACCGGCCGGCCCAAAAATCCTTAACCGGTTAAATTTAACTCAGGCCGGCACTATAAATTTGGGCAAAACTAGCGAAATTTTGCAATTGCAAAAAAATTTTAATTCTGCACGAAAATTAAATTTCGGCCAGGGTAAACATTAGTTATTTTAACCGGTTAACAAGATAAATGTCTTAACCAGTTAATTAACCGGTTAAAAATTAACCAGTTCCTACCTCTAGGATAACTTTGGAAAGAATAGGTAAGTCTTTTTTTTCCATTTCTATCGTATAGCAATATCTTTTTCCTATTATTTTTTTTTACTTTATAGATTCCTTTCACATTAGGTTAAGATTTGATATGATTTATTTTGATTTTATTTTTTCCTTGATATAAATAAAAACAGTCTACTGGCATATTCAATTACACCACCATTAATATTATAGCCGGCATATTCGTCACTAAAAATAGTTTTTTGGTAGAATCGGCTACATATAGCATTATTACTTGCTGATACATGACAAATATATATAAACTATCTTAAGAACCGTTCAAGTTTTATCCTTAATGAAGAAACAGAGACAGCCTTTATTTTTATTGAACCATATCAATACCAATCAATCATAAACATGAGAACTTCCATATATTTTCTTAATATCAATTATTTATAAATAAAACTTTCGGTTTGATTTGGTCTAGCTGCGTCTTATGATAACCGTTTATTGCTGATCGACATCTCTTTCTCCTTTTTAGCAAAAATAGTAATGAAACTTTTATTTCTATCCTCTTTTTTATTATTTAAATATACCGTACCGTGCCATGCAGGTGTCGTTTTGATACCGCCTTAACGTACATACGCGTATTACATATTTTGGTCATGTAAAATTATTGCAGCTTGACCAATAATTAGTTCACGTGCCGGACTCTATAGTTTTATAATATTTCCAATTTTTTCTTAGCTTAATCCAGAAAGATGAGAATTTACAAGGTCGACTTTGTAAGTAGATTATAATTATAATTAAATTTGTATTTTTTCTGTAAAAATTAATTAACGTATTGTTATTTGAATTACCATCTAATTCTATGTAGACGTATGATATTTATTTTAAGAAAATTTTGAAAATTAATATCAAGGTTATTAAAAAAGCCCCCAAAAATTGAATGTATTCTATAAAATTTTGTTTTTTTATAATTTCACATTAGAGCCCATTTCAGATGCTAAAAAGCTTTAAGGAGACAAAATAATTCTTTCTTAAATATATATTTATTTATAATGAATTTTATTGATTTTTCAATAAAATTTAGCTTTAACTTATAAATTATTTATTCTTGAATATAAAAGTAAAGTTTTTTGTTTCACAAACAAAAATTTTATTTATTAATATACTCTTAAATTTATCTTGATTATTTTTACATGATCCAAGTTTTTTATAATTTAGCTTATCAGAATGCTTTGAAAGCAATAAACACAATATACTTAAATTCAAAAATTATGACTAGTATTATTTAATTTGGGATAGAAAAAAGAGTTTAATTTTTCTTATAAATTCATAATGAATATTATCTGAAAAGTATATTAAAAGTTAAATTTTTAGTGAACAAAAATGGGTAAATTAACAGATATTTGCCAGCTTATTAATATAAAATTTTATTAAAAAATATGTATTTTTTTTTTGATTTTTCAATAAAAAACAATATAAAATTTCATATAATAATAGATTTATTAGATAAGCATCTGCATTAAAGATATATAATTAGAGACGGATAATGGATATTATGAAAATAAGCAAAATTTTTATAAATTATAAAAGTTAAATTTATACAGAGTAGTTCTATAAACTTGAAATTTATATATTATATATTATTTAACTTATTTTATAAAATTTGGTAAATTTTATTAATAATTAGAAAAAATTTAATTTTTTGTAATGATATTCAAAATTTAATTAATAAATTTATAATTTTTTAAAAAAAAAGCAAAATGCCGAGATGCGCTCTTAAAAACACTGTGTTGCATCTCTAACGGATCACTGGCGCTGAGATATTCGAGATATTCAAGAAAACGTGTTGAAAATGTTCATTTTCGGCTTCTTATTTCCAGAAGTTCACGGGATTTTATTTGGCCACCAACATGAGTTACACAAATGTCTAAATATGTAAATAATATTACACTAAATCCTAAAAAGGCAATTATCGCCTGTCAAAAAATTTGAAAAATCACCAAAATTAGTTATACAATTCCAAAAATGAGTTGGTATAACGTAAATCATGTGATTTTTTGTAAAAGTTATGCAAGATAAATAAAGTTATTTTTCAGACAACAATATTAAGAATTATATCAGTTGTTATCAATTGTTACACCGCAAAATTGATTGATAATACCCAATGGGGATAATCTAACTGAAGGGCCAAAAATTACTATTGTTCTTATTATTGTTCTTTTTTTAGAATTGCATAATTGCGTTTCGGAAATTCTCTTTATGGCTATAAATGTTTTTATTTACCGATATAGAAACTTTTTTTAAAAAAAGATGCTGCAGCCAAAAATCAACAAAACCCATATTTCCATCAACTAGTTATTTAGCGTTTGTTGATTGTTTAAATTGACCATGAATTCCGACAAGGTTTAGAAAAATATATATTTTTTTTATTTAAAAAAAAAAATAAAAATAAAAATTTTATAAACTAAAAGAAATTAATATTATCACCATGATGTTTTTATATTTCAAATATAAAGAAAATCTCACACACTTAATGCATATACAAATTCAACATAAAACTCTCACTCTTAATGCATATACAAATTCATAATAAATTAAACATTTTTAAATATATCGATATGCCTTTGCATAATGCCTTCTTTTTTGGAGTAAAATTTGGACCTACTTTTTATATGGAACAATTATAATATATTTTTGTTGAAAGGAGCATTGTATTGTCAAGATATTAGTTCGGGAAAGGTGTCTTCTTTTTTGGAGTAAAATTTGGACCAAATTTTTATATAAAACATATATAATATATTTTTGTTGTAAGAAAAGTCAACATTTCAGCAAATAGGTTTTCATGCTAACTTTCTTTTCAACGTCGTTCCTGTTCCTGGCAGTGTTACAAACGAAAATTCTGGAAGGAGTATTTAATATTTCGCAAAATTATTTGTCAAATTTTATAATTTTAGCCAAGATTTTTAATTCGCTATTTTTTTTATTTTTTTTAATTAAATATTAAATTAATTTAATAAATAAATCTTGATCGACATATATTTTATATTGGATTATTTTTATCAATAATATATTTGAGACAACCAATCACATTTACACAAACGTCTCGCCTTTTTTTAAACAATAAATTACGTTTTTTCCATGCAGCATAACCTTTACGTGCAGTATTAACCATCAATTTAAGTACAACATTCAATTATTTTTGATTTGCTTTTGTGGCACGCAAAAGATTTAATTGACATTCGAAACAAAAATACCAAAAATAGAACATATTAAATGTAAAATTTAATATTAAATGACATTGCTCATTGTTAAAATTATCTATAATTAAATTTTCATAACTTTTAAAAATTTGACTATTTGTCTTGAAAAATGAAATAGAATTTACTCCCTTCTACAAGGATAATACATTTCACATTCTTAGGTATGGGAAAAGTTTTAATTGGAGCGATTTTGAATTTTGGTTTTTAATTTTTTTGTTTAGAAACATCTCATTAAAATTTAAAATATTATTAAATGTTTTGAGCCAAGCATTCTGTGCAGGTACACATGTCTCTTATGGACCCTTAATTAATAAATTTCAATAAATTAAAAAAAAAATGACACATTGAACATTTTTTAAATATTTAGTGAAATAAATGCAATTGGCTTCCACTTAGTTTATGCTGTATCACAACATCTAAATTAAACGAAATTAATGATGTTTATAGTTTTCGCGGAGACTGGTATAAGAAACAACAATCACTTTTTTATAATCATTTTGCAGACGTGTGTATTTCATCTATTATACCCTTTTGATGCCTTTCAATTATCGGTCAGATATAGGATAAGCTACGATCAGTATTTAAACACGAAAATTAGCAAATACTAATTAATCTAGAATTGTATTTTTGCATTTAAACTTAATAAGTACTGAACAGACTATAAATAAAGTATTAATGTTAAATGCACTAGGATACTTAAATATAACCGGGTAATAACAGTTTGCGAATCGATTTTATCACATAATATTAAATGCCGTTTCAATTATTAATTTATAAAAATTCTATCATAATAATAAATCCCAATTATTGTTATTCTAAATTTATTCATATTTTTTTACTAGATACAATATTATAAGTAATAATCTTTAATTATACATTTTTTAAAAAATATCACGATAACTTTGTCCTTTTGATTTATAGTTTCGATTAATTTGTAAAATATGATATATTAAATATTTAAGAAATAAGTTAAATAAAATTAAATAAATAAATGGAATAAATATAAAATAATAAATATTAGATAAATTTTTCGTCTTTGTTTTCTAATATTAATAATAATTAGCGTGATGGTTAAATGGTTAAATAAATGAATTTTTACAAATTTAAGCATAAATAAACTAACTAATTACCTTAATCCATTTCAAACTCTATTTCCGACATTGTTTAAATGATTCTAATGCCTCTCTGATTTACTATTTATATCATCTGTTCATTCCTGCAAATCACCCTCATTTACTAATTCTTCATCAACTTTGTCAACATTATCATCAAATGCCATATTCAATGTATTTTGAAATATCTTGCAATAATATTCAATACCATCGCAAAGATAATGTGGACATCTTCAATTTGCTAGAATAAAGAATTCTATATGATATCCATGACCACATGATAAAATGCCACCTGGTACCTCTATGATAAAGTACACATATTCCAATCACATAGTTTCTAATCTGGGTAAGCAAGATGAATTCCAACCCATTGGAAGAACTTTTTCATCTACAATTATACCAAGAGATGGTGAATTATATTGCCAATATTTTTAACTTTTTTTTGTTGTACTTCCACGATCTTTCCAAACATTTGGAAATAAATTCAAGAGAAAAATTGCAGCTTTCTTTTCCAAAATTTCCATTTAATTTGCTATCTAAATAACATTATGATTATTTGAAAATTTTTCATTAAAGAAATTATTATCACGCATTTGATCAATTACTTTCGCCTGATAAATAATTTGCTGTGATGTATTAAAATTATTTGTTTGATATCAAATAGAACTATGAAAATTTTCTACATAGTAATCATTAAAAATGTAAATAGATGTTTTAAGAGTTTTTATTATTGAATGTTCAATATTTTGCCAATAAAAAACATCACTATGAAGTGATAATGGTAATTTATTGTAATTTTTGCGATGATATTGATAAAAAATAGTCCATATATATAACATTGCTTGCTCATATACTTCCCAACATCCACTATGAAAAATTATTGGGTAAAAATCCAAAACTAATGGAATTATATTATCTAAAAGATCATTTAACATACGTGTTTCAGAATCTTTAATATTATGAAAAAGATTTTGTATAGATTCTTTAATTAAAAGCCAACCCTTAAATGCAAGCTCCAAAAGTAAATTATTCTGATAAAGCTTTAGTTTTTTTTGTCAAAATTTTTTGAGTACTAAATATTAAATGAAATATTTGTTCAAAAAAGCTATAATTAATAATAAATACAGTTTCTCAATTATTTAAAAACACATATAAAGGACCAATAAAAGGTATCATATTAAGAATTTGTTGTGATACATCAGATTGTTTTCCATCAATCATTTGATGTATAATAGCATGACATATATTTTGTTGTCTAGAATAATCCATAAGAGTAACCAAAATATTTTATTCTAAATATGCATATATTTCTAGAATACTAATTATTACTAAAAGATAATCCTTTGATGAATGTAAACCACTCTCTAATAAATCAATTAATTTTGTATTTACATACTTTGAACTTTTTTTAGTTCAGTATAGTAATATAATTAATCAACTTGATTTACAATATATAAAAGATTTAAGTATAACTTATCAAGAACGAATAGAATCCTTTACAAAGTTATTTGAATTATATAAAAATCATGAAAAACAAGTTGAAAATTTGCTTATACATAGCTATGATACATGAATTTTAGAATCAATGCCTTTTGGATTTTGAATTGTAAGCTGATTAGTGATATTATTAAATGAAATAGCAGGAAATTGGGTGGATAATTTCATAAGTATTGTAATAAATGAAAAGCACTACTTGTAGAAGTAGTATCTGGTTGTCGTATAGTATGTATATTATGATAATCTTCAATATTAAAAATAATTAAGTAATTTTTTTAATATAAAAAAAAATATATAAAAAAAATTTTATTAAAAAAATTTAACAATAAATAAATAGAATTAATAAAAAAAAATAATTACATTTTCATTAATATAATCTTTAACGGTTTGTTAATGGCTAATTGATACTTTTGTTTTTGAATAGTTTCTCTTTGAATTGTAAGCCCAACATTTGCTAAAGATTCAACTATTGATGTAAAAGTTCCTGACACATCTAATAAAAATCCCACTTCTGTTTTTACATTCTTAATAAATTTGTTATTAAGACTTGCTAAAAATAACACATCATAACAAGTCTTTTTTTTATTTTGTTGATTAGTTACAGAATTTTAGTTCTGAGAATTTGTACCAACAATAAGTTTATTAAAAAAGTCCTGTAATTTTGGTTCCTCTCTTTCTAACATTCTTTAAATTCATCAGGATCATAAATTGGCTTTTCTTGAGCTTTGCGTTGTTTTTTATATAAAATATTAGACATTAAATTAATATTGTCATCAATATAATCTAAAATAAAAAGGATTAATTAGAGATAAAGAATAAAAGTAAAAAAAAAATTATTTTATTACATAATTTTAACTTAGACAAATTCTTTACAAATTTCATGATATGCAATTTCTAATTTCTCAAATTTTTTAGCCGAATATAAGCAATTGTTACGAAGAACATAATTATATTGTTTAAAATTCATATTTGAATTTTGTATCTTTTGCATTGGTGGCTGATAATTGGAAGATTGTTTGTTTTCTTTGTCATGATCTATTGCAATAAGAAATGGATTACAAATAAGTGTACCAGTTGAAAGATTCAAAATGGGTTGAAGCTGTTGTGGAATTTTTACAAGAATATGTTTTCGTGGTTGACCTTTCTTGCTATTTTTTATATACACTTCATGTTTAGGATGAGCACATTGCTGTTTCTTCACTGCATTTGCTAACCAATGATTTTCGTTTACTATTAATTTATTGTAGTGATGACGATATAATTCTTTTCCCACTAAATTCATACCAAGATTTGTTTTAGGAATCTTGAGTATATCTGTAATAAGAACCGTGCCATTGGTAATATTATCGCAAATAAAGGTTGTGTCATTTGAAAATTCACAAATTTGTTGTTTTTTGGTTTTTTCGGACATTTATTACAAAAAAAATTTAAAATATAAATGTCGGATAGGAGTTTTTTTAAAGAAGACAAAAATTGGACAGAGATTTTAAAGGGAGTTAGAAATTTTTTTTAAAAAAAAATTTCAAAAGGACAAGGAATAAAGTCGGAAGAAATTTTTTAAAAGAGAAGGTTCAAACTGAAATATTTTTACATTTAATTAATAATTTATAGACAATATAAACAAAAAATCAAATATTAATACACTAACTTTTAATTATTTATCTAACGACCATTCTTTAAGAAATAAACAAATTGTAATACTACTATAGCTTGTATTCCGTGAGAAGTTTCACTATGCTTGTAATTTCTGAATTATTCGCCTAATATTCAAATTACTTTGTAAAACATTAGAGAAGAACCTAAAAATCAAAATTTATCTTCGGTTATCGCCAATAAATACTCTGTAGCGCCAATAAATTATGATAGCGAGATATCTTTTTGTGTAACCTTTCGAGATCTAGCTAATCTAAATTATTTTAATAATTAATTTATATATATAAGATCAACAAAAAATACACATCTCATTTTATTAATTATTTAATTTCGATAATTTCGATCACTTTTATTTTTTTAAAAAAAAATTTATTTATTGTAAAAAAATATATATATACGATCATGTGTCGATCATGTGATTATTCGGAAATTAGAATGTTAGTACATATATTGTCTGAAAGACATCCATCCTCCGAGTTAAGCCCGTATTACCGAATATGGGAGATCAATAAAGGGTGGGTGTTCCGAATAATTATGAATAACCAAACCACGTTACATATCATATAGCGAACGGCAAGCAACCGAAAATCTTAAGACTTCAAAAAGTTCTACAAAATACAACTTTTTTAATCGTTTTCTTTTAAAGGAAGATATATAGATACGTATTAATATTACTTTATGTTGAATTTAAGGACCAACCTTGTAAACAATATACAGCAAGGAAGTGATTGATAGGTCTACAACGAAAAACGATAACACAATAGTTTTAGCAATTGGTTCAAAAATAATTTTTATAATAAATTATATTATGTATAACTTATTCACTGAATTATTTTAATAAATGAAATTTATTTTGAGAGAATAATTCAGAATAAAAATAATACACGCGTATAATAAATGAGATTTTTATTGGATACAGTAAAATAATTCATGTCATCTATAAATATATACTTGATAAATTATAAAGATAAAGGTAAAATATTAAGTATGTAAAATTAAAACTTACAACACATATAGTTCTTATAATTATTAAGTAAAAGTCAACCATGTTGAACATAACAAGTCTTACCAAAAATTAATTCTATAAATTCTATTATATAATCAAGAAATATAGAAGATCGTCTAAATTTAAAGTTGCTATCAATCAAATATGATGTTTTTATCCTTATCAAATAATATAAAAAATCAATATCATTTATCCTTTCATCGTGTTTGTCGATAGAATCTCCATAAAAATTATCGATTCGAACAGAAACGTGATCTTTTCTCAAAGGATAAGCAAGTTTTTTTTCGATTAACGATCTTAACTCACAATTAGAAATGTTACGAGGTACATTAATATTAATAGAAGTCCTTTTTGCGACTTCATAAGGAATACAAAGAATTGATTTAGTTTCTTTTGGATAACATTTCGTAGAATAGTGTTCGATATGATCAATGATATAATTTTCGATTAAAGTAGATGTAGGTGAGAAGGAAGCTTCATATTCGACGGTATTAGACGAGTTAGATTCATCTTTATCCGGAAACGATTCGGGAAATGAGGAATAAATATCAATAATTTCATCAATTTCATCAATTTCTATTATATCTTCATCAGTTGAGAATGATGTAATTTCAGAAACCATGATTTCTTTGACTACAGCGATTTCTTTTGGTTTGCGGAATACTTTGCGTTTAAGAGATTTAAATGTCTTTGAGATAATTTTTTTAAGCTTATTGGAAGATTTATGTTGCTTAGGCCAGAATTGATCACCTTCTAATGGTTTCATATCAACAGAGCGAGAATATCCATTTGGGATAACGAACTTTTTATCAAATACCGAAAAGTTTGGATCGAAAGTAATTGTTTGCATTTTAGGTTGTGAAGTAGTGAGATAAAAAATTTTAGTATAGTTGTAGATGTTGTGTTTGCAAGCAAGGTAACCTTTGAGCGGCCCTGCTTTTATAGATTTTGAGCAGAATACGTGTTAAAAATAGGTTATTCTTATCAAAGATGTGTATTAATTTTAAAAATGATATCATAAATGCGTCATTTGACATAATTTTGTTAAAATACTAATTCGGAAATATGTATAATTGTTCAGAATGTTGACATTACACAATACATTATTTTAAATATAAATTTCTTTTAATATGAACTTATACATATTAATTTCATATTAAAAACCCACAAAGATCATATTTGTGATCATACAATTCAAGATGCTGTATAGTATAATTTTTATATTGCGAATAATATAATCAAGTCAAGTTTAATGTAATGTTATATTCGTTCGTAATAATACAGATAATCATTTACAACATACGTAATTAACTATGCTTTAATGAATTGTATTGATTGTATTGTCAAGTTTGATATATTTTATATATATTCCAAATCGTTAATCATGTGACCCAACCAATCAAAACGCAATTTAATAATAATTTACTTTCAAAAAAATTTTCACCATGAAATTTTACAATAAATAGAAGTCTTAGAAGATACTGAGATGATTAATATGGTGATTTATTTTGTGATTATTTTGCACTCGTGATATATTCCTTCATAATGTAATAATGCTACGAACAAAAAAATGTGACATATTCATGTAATAACAATTCAATCAAAGAGATTGAATCAAATGTTCATCGTGAAAGAAAATAATGGTCTTCACCTACACAATGCCTCATATTAAAAGAAACTTTGATTGCTACCAATTTAGTCATAATCGCGGAAGAACAATGCAACAACTATGCGCAGAAAACAATACATGACCCCAGTAATTCAAGATCCAATTCTTTTTTATGAATTTCAAGATCAAATAAAATTTCATCATGTGAACTATGACACCGTTTATTGTGGTAACAGGATTCTACCTTCGAATAACAATTTCTGATATGCATCGCTACAGCTTTGTAAATTTTTCTTTAACACAAAACCTTGGAAATTGTTATCATTACCTTAACGTATATGAGTACATGAAAGGTCACGATAAAGAATGTATTGCTGGCAAGCTTACTGCATTTAATGCGTACGTCGTCCCACTGACAAAGAGAAAACATTATATAAATTTTATTTCTGATCGTGTATATCTCCCTTACCCACCAGCAATGAAAAATTGATGATAAAATTTTTTATTAACGCAGAAATGTAGTAAAAAATGAATTCTGACAATGAATATATTTTGAAATTAATCATAATAAATGATAAAATTATTATACAACTAATTTTCAAAACATATACGACTTCCCTGTAGAAAATGTTGACCGTGTTCTGGTTTCCAATAAGCCACGGAGAAAAAATGAAAATATTCGGACGAAAATATTTTTTATAGGGTTTGCGCAAACTAAAAATTTGTAATTGCGCAATGGGCAAATCAAAATCTACGAAATTTGCGGAAATAAAAAATGGATGGCGTTCCGCAAATTCCGCAAATGAATTTTATTCACTTTCTTCACTCCCTCTAAGGAATGCAGGATCTTCCCCAGAATCACCATCAAAAAAAGCTCGGGTCATGTTTTTATAATGCAGGCCTATTATCACGTGATCGCGAAATTTTTGTCATTCAAATACTGCGGCAAAATCTTCAATACCTAACAATATGTGTCACCATCGTTATACTTTATCGTATGAAAAAAAAATTTTTTTTAATAACCTTTTTCTATAAGACAATGTCTGATAACAACTGTATAGGTAAAAGTATAATAAAAAAAAGCATGAAGCCTAACATGCCTATACATGTTTTTTGGCAGTTGGACCTGAAATGATATTTAAATTTTTTTTAAAAAATACACATAGTGCCAGTGGATTCACCAACCGAATGAAATATTATTGATGATAAACGTAATCCTTTAAGACTAAGTTCCAGATAGGCTTATAGTTACTTATAGTGGTGAGTTTTTACATTTCATGTTATATAACTATGGTCCGGTGCAAAAAGGTTGATACACTAATATATCTATAATAAAAAAATTTTTTTTAAAATTTAATATGAATATTTAAATTTATTTATTAATATTTCAAGTTTTAAGATATATTTCAATATAAATTTTATTAAAGTTTTGAAGATATACAAAAAATTTTACTAGTCATCAACTTCTTCAATTTCGAAATCTTCATAATCACTTTCAACTAATAAAATGTCATCACTTAAATCTTTATATTCTACGGCCTTATTAAGACATTTTTTCCAAAACCCAACAATAACTTTTGAATTAACATTATCTTTAAATGCTTGCAATAATTTGTCTCTAATAGTAAGAAGATTAGGATGGGAACCAGCTCTAGCAACCACACCTTTTACAATTGACCAAATTCCCTCAATTGGTTGAAGTTCACAATGGTAAGTTGGAGTATAAAACAAATCGTGACCATACTTATTAGCTATTTGAATACACATAAAAGGGACATTAGGTTTATTTTATTTTACTAATTCATAAAGTTCTGCTCTACTAAGATTTTCTGGAATGTTAACTCCTGCTGATAATAACCATGTGATCATTATATCCTTTCTTGAGTTTGATGTCAGTACTTGTTCAATTCAATGTTTGTGATACCTAGCACCATCCATGTGAATTACAACTGATCCATAACACTCTTTGATATTAACACAAAGTTTATCAAAAAGATCTTCAAATATTTCAGCTGTAAAACTACCATGATAATCAACATTATTTGCCATAATATTTGAATTTCAAATAACATCAGAGATATTAGTCCATTCATCGGCATTTGCTTGTTTTCTTCCTCTAGAGAAGGTGGTTTAATTGATGGATCCCATAATAAAAGAGAATTAGGAATGATTTCACCAAAAAGCTTATTGGTGTTACCATTGTGCATTACAACAATTGCACCAAAAATAATAATTAGAGGTCCGTGCCCAACTTCATATACAATCCCATGATTTAGTATCCAAGTACGACCTGTAGTATGATGTAAATGGCAATAAGACTCATCTAAAAATACTTCCAGTTTAGTTGGAACCTTGTTTTCACCTTGTAAATTTTCAAACCGACGTTGTAAATAAATGTTACGAAAGGTCACATTTTCAGGTGATTCATGTAACATATTTCGATGTTCACCACGACCATAATAATATCCCAACATATAAAGTAAACGAAGGAGCTGCCATTTTGAAAAAATATAACCATTTTCTTCAAGCTTCTTTCGTAAAATAGGTGTTGAAAGTGGTAAACCAGAAATATTAGAGGAAATGATAATACTACGAATAATTTCAACCAAGTCATGATTAAGCTTCTTTTTTGGTCGACCAATTTTTGGTGAGGATTCTCCAGATTTACTTTGATTATATTCAGCAACTATTCATGTAACCATTGCCTCTCCAATACCAAGAACTGCAGCAACCTCCTTGCGTAGTGGTAAGTCATAAATTTTTTTTTGGCATTGTCAGATACTTAAAAAATGTTAGTGAACACGAAATACCATTTTTTTTCATTGCTAGTTAAAAAATTTCGATCTCATTCCAAATTTTCCATGAGAAAGAAATATGATTAAAACCGGTTATAACTTTGAAGTTAAAAACTGTTCCTACCTTATATATAATTAGTTCACCCGCCGGATTTGATTATCAAATCTTGTATCATAAAAGAAATTTGTGTAACAATTTTAATGTATCAACCTTTTTGCACCGGACCATATTAAAATTTTGCTATTTTCATATGGAATCTCTTATTCTTGCATACTACAATTCTTTCAAATATAAAGATGATTCTGCTACTGCTGCAATTCGAGCAAACCATCCTATTCTAGAATAATGAGGATTATTTTATTTTGAAATTAACATTATACATAAAGCAAAAAAGGGGTGTGTTAAAATATTTTAGAATATATTTCTATGTTATATATAAATCAATTAATTTAAATTCTATTCTTTCATATTTTCATATTCAATAGGGGGATTAGAATCAGGTTTTGCACACAAAAAACTATACTAAATCATATGCCTGGTAACTTTTTTTATCAACTGCAAATTTGTTTAAATGACATTATTTATTTTATTTTATTGTAGGTTGGGGTAATAATTCTTGGGATTATCATAATAATGATGGAAATAAGAATTCTCCAGAAACTAATATACTTGGTAGTGGCTTGTCTTATGGACCAAAATTTATAACTGGTGATATTATTGGATGCTTTATAAACTTTAGAAATAATATGATACTTTACACTAGAAATGGAATTAATCTAGGTATTATCATATTACAAATACTTGGTTATTTTAAGTTATTTAATATAGATTAATTTTATCGAATTTTTAAGGTATTGCTTTTTGTAATTTGAAAAATTGTTTGTATCCTTTTGTTGGAATAGAGTCTCCAGGTAGATCAATTGTAAGAGCAAATTTGGCTATAAAAATTCAAATACACAGGTACTTTTATTTATTTTCTTATTTTTAATTACTTTATTAGTATTAATTATTTTCTTAGTTATGATTGATGATGATATTGACGAACCTTTTAAGAAGAATTGGACTGAAATTCTTAATTCATATAATGATAAATTAATAATTCAACAGATTAATAGATTTGCAGATTTAAAACAATTATCAAATGCTGAACACATACTAAAATATCGAGGAAAATTTTATTTTGTTATAGGTGAATATGAACTAGCACTTTCAGATTCGATAAAGTTGCTAGAGTTTGATGCAAATAATACATTTGCATTAAAATATCGAGGAGAAACTTTTTGTATAATGAAAAAATATGAGGAAGCACTTGCAAATTTAAACAAATTACTAGAAATCAAAACAAATGATACATGGATGTTAAATGCCTATGAAGAAGTTACTAATTTGTATGAATATAAGTGTTTTATTTATATTAATTATTTAAATATAAATTCATTTAAATTATCTATATTTGTAGGAGGTAACTATAATTTTACTTCATTTTTTTATTTAAAATTCATAATAAAATTTATTTATAATACAGAGAGTTGAGTATAAAGTTAATTTATTTTATGTTAAGGATTAAATTTAAAAATTCTTTTCTAACTAATAAAATTTCAAATTTTTAGTATAGATTTAAATGGTAATGAAATAAATTATATTATTAGCAACATGAATTATAATGAATATTTATGTATTTACTAATAATTTTATTAATATTATAGCTTGTAAGCTATTTAATTTTTATATATCTTAACTTATTCTATAATTAAAATATAATTAAACTTTTTAATTAACAATATCTATTACCATAGGGAGTAAGTTATTTTTAATTTTTTTATATTGCAATTTAAATATAATTAATTTATTTTAACAATTTTTTTAATTGCATTTAGTTGGTAATTAATTTTTATCTATTATACATTACATATATAATCATTTTTATAAAATTTAAAATTTCTTTAAAATATTAGATCGTAAGTTTTATTTATTAATTAAATTAAATAATTTTATTTTATTTTAAATAATAAAATTAATTATTATAAATTTTAGAAAGTAATTTTTTAGTAAATTAATTTATTATAAAGTAATTTATTTTGCAAGTTTTTTATTTAAACAATAAACAATCTTTTAGATAGTTAAGTTATTTTTATTTAATTATAAATTTTTCTATAAATTAAAATTAACTAAATTTTTTATTCATAAATCAAAATATTACTAAAGAATGTAAGTTATTTTATTAATTATATTGATTATTATTATTTAATATACTTTTTTTTTTTAATTTAAGCATAATTAAATTTTTTATTTATTAATTAATATAATAGGTTGTAAGTTATTTCATTGATTATTATACTTTTCACTGCAATTTAAAAACTAAATATTTTATTTAAAAAAAAATTTAATCTTTAGATGGTAAGTTATTTTATTAGTTTTTAACATTTAATTATATTTGCTACTGTAATTTAATCATAACTAAATTTTTATTTAAAAAAATAATTAATTTTTTAGATTGTAAGTAATTTTATTTATTATCAGTATTTAATTTTATTTTTATTTTAAATTAACTAATTTTTTTATTTAAAATAAAAATTAATAATTAATAATATTATAGATAGTAAGTTATTTTTATTAATTATTAAGTATTTAATTATATTTTTTATTATAATTTAAATTCAACTAAATTTTTTATTTAAAAAATAATTAATAATCAATAATATAATAGATTGTAAGTTATTTTTTAATTATCCCTTATATTGTAGGGTTTTGCAGGCAAATTTGCCTGCTTATTTACTATAAATTCTCTTCTGATTTACTTTTATGAATAATTAATATTTTTA